GACAGGTCTGTATATACCTGTTAGTGACCATGTGATGTCAGTACTCTCCCAGTATCTCTGTAATATACTGACTGGTCTCAGTGATCGGTATCAGACAGGTATGTATATCCTTATTAGTAACCATGTGATGTGAGAACTCTCCCAGTATCTCTGTAATATACTGACTGGTCTCAGTGCTCGGTATCAGACAGGTCTGTATATACCTGTTAGTGACCATGTGATGTCAGTACTCTCCCAGTATCTCTGTAATATACTGACTGGTCTCAGTGCTCGGTATCAGACAGGTCTGTATATCCCTGTTAGTAACCATGTGATGTCAGAACACTCTCCCAATCTCTGTAATATACTGACTGGTCTCAGTGCTCGGTATCAGACAGGTCTGTATATCCCTGTTAGTGACCATGTGATGGCAGTACTCTCCCAGTCTCTCTGTAATATACTGACTGGTCTCAGTGCTCGGTATTAGACAGGTCTGTATATCCCTGCTAGTGACCATGTGATGTCAGAACTCTCCCAGTATCTCTGTAATATACTGACTGGTCTCAGTGCTCGGTATCAGACAGGTCTGTATATCCCTGTTAGTGACCATGTGATGGCAGTACTCTCCCAGTCTCTCTGTAATATACTGACTGGTCTCAGTGCTCGGTATCAGACAGGTCTGTATATCCCTGTTAGTGACCATGTGATGTCAGTACTCTCCCAGTCTCTCTGTAATATACTGACTGGTCTCAGTGCTCAGTATCAGACAGGTCTGTATATCCCTGTTAGTGACCATGTGATGTCAGAACTCTCCCAGTCTCTCTGTAATATACTGACTGGTCTCAGTGCTCGGTATCAGACAGGTCTGTATATCCCTGTTAGTGACCATGTGATGGCAGAACTCTCCCAGTCTCTCTGTAATATACGGACTGGTCTCAGTGCTCGGTATCAGACAGGTCTGTATATTGCCGTTAGTGACCATGTGATGGCAGTACTCTCCCAGTCTCTCTGTAATATACTGACTGGTCTCAGTGCTCGGTATCAGACAGGTCTGTATATCCCTGTTAGTGACCATGTGATGGCAGAACTCTCCCAGTCTCTCTGTAATATACTGACTGGTCTCAGTGCTCGGTATCGGACAGGTCTGTATATCCCTGTTAGTGACCATGTGATGGCAGTACTCTCCCAATCTCTGTAATATACTGACTGGTCTCAGTGCTCGGTATCAGACAGGTATGTATATCCTTATTAGTAACCATGTGATGTGAGAACTCTCCCAGTATCTCTGTAATATACTGACTGGTCTCAGTGCTCGGTATCAGACAGGTCTGTATATCCCTGTTAGTAACCATGTGATGTCAGAACTCTCCCAGTATCTCTGTAATATACTGACTGGTCTCAGTGCTCGGTATCAGACAGGTCTGTATATCCCTGTTAGTGACCATGTGATGTCAGAACTCTCCCAGTCTCTCTGTAATATACTGACTGGTCTCAGTGCTCGGTATCAGACAGGTCTGTATATCCTTATTAGTAACCATGTGATGTGAGAACTCTCCCAGTCTCTCTGTAATATACTGACTGGTCTCAGTGCTCGGTATCAGACAGGTCTGTATATCCCTGTTAGTGACCATGTGATGTCAGAACTCTCCCAGTATCTCTGTAATATACTGACTGGTCTCAGTGCTCGGTATCAGACAGGTCTGTATATCCCTGTTAGTGACCATGTGATGGCAGTACTCTCCCAGTCTCTCTGTAATATACTGACTGGTCTCAGTGCTCGGTATCAGACAGGTCTGTATATCCCTGTTAGTGACCATGTGATGTCAGAACTCTCCCAGTCTCTCTGTAATATACTGACTGGTCTCAGTGCTCGGTATCAGACAGGTCTGTATATCCCAGTTAGTGACCATGTGATGTCAGTACTCTCCCAGTCTCTCTGTAATATACTGACTGGTCTCAGTGCTCGGTATCAGACAGGTCTGTATATCCCTGTTAGTGACCATGTGATGTCAGAACTCTCCCAGTCTCTCTGTAATATACTGACTGGTCTCAGTGCTCGGTATCAGACAGGTCTGTATATCCCTGTTAGTGACCATGTGATGTCAGAACTCTCCCAGTCTCTCTGTAATATACTGACTGGTCTCAGTGCTCGGTATCAGACAAGTCTGTATATCCCTGTTAGTGACCATGTGATGTCAGAACTCTCCCAGTATCTCTGTAATATACTGACTGGTCTCAGTGCTCGGTATCAGACAGGTCTGTATATCCCGGTTAGTGACCATGTGATGTCAGTACTCTCCCAGTCTCTGTAATATACTGACTGGTCTCAGTGCTCAGTATCAGACAGGTCTGTATATCCCTGTTAGTGACCATGTGATGGCAGTACTCTCCCAATCTCTGTAATATACTGACTGGTCTCAGTGCTCGGTATCAGACAGGTCTGTATATCCCTGTTAGTGACCATGTGATGTCAGTACTCTCCCAGTCTCTCTGTAATATACTGACTGGTCTCAGTGCTCGGTATCAGTCAGGTCTGTATATCCCAGTTAGTGACCATGTGATGTCAGTACTCTCCCAGTCTCTCTGTAATATACTGACTGGTCTCAGTGCTCGGTATCAGACAGGTCTGTATATCCCTGTTAGTGACCATGTGATGTCAGTACTCTCCCAGTCTCTCTGTTATATACTGACTGGTCTCTCTGCTCGGTATCAGACAAGTCTGTATATCCCTGTTAGTGACCATGTGATGTCAGAACTCTCCCAGTCTCTCTGTAATATACTGACTGGCCTATATGCTCAGTATGAGACAGGTCTATATATCCCTGTTAGTGACCGCTGTATTTCAGGCTGTATTCTCTGCTAACAGCCTTGATTCAGGACATTACATACCTGGAGGAAGTTCTGACTGGCACTGATGAGAGAAAGCTGCGCACTTGGACTGTCTGGCTGGGTCTGGCTTCCACGAACGCCCTGGACTAACATAGGGATTTGATCTGCCACAACCTAAAAAGTCATGAAAATATTAAAAGATCATTTGTAAGTTTAATATCTATTCAATATCTTATACAATACACCCAGAGACACACCAATACAGCCAGAGACACACCAATACAGCCAGAGACACACCAATACAGCCAGAGATAAACTGAGCAAATTAGTGAGCTCCACGAGAGGGGACTTCCTAAAATTGACACTAGTATCACCAAAATAACTAGCTTAATGAATCACTTGTGGTGTATAGCTCATGCCCCTGCAGTCTCACTGCTCAATTCTCTGCCAGGGAGGAGGGCAATCCCCCAGGGAGGAGGGCAATCCCCACAGGTAGGAGGGTTGGGGGAGGGCAATCCTCACAGAAAGGAGGGCAATCCCCCCAGGAAGGAGGGCTGGGGGAGGGCAATCCCCCCAGGAAGGAGGGCTGGGGGAGGGCAATCCCCACAGGAAGGAGGGCAATCCCCACAGGAAGGAGGGCTGGGGGAGGGCAATCCCCACAGGAAGGAGGGCTGGGGGAGGGCAATCCCCACAGGAAGGAGGGCTGGGGGAGGGCAATCCCCCCAGGAAGGAGGGCAATCCCCCCAGGAAGGAGGGCTGGGGGAGGGCAATCCCCACAGGAAGGAGGGCTGGGGGAGGGCAATCCCCACAGGAAGGAGGGCTGGGGGAGGGCAATCCCCACAGGAAGGAGGGCTGGGGGAGGGCAATCCCCACAGGAAGGAGGGCAATCCCCACAGGAAGGAGGGCAATCCCCACAGGAAGGAGGGCAATCCCCACAGGAAGGAGGGCAATCCCCACAGGAAGGAGGGCAATCCCCACAGGAAGGAGGGCAATCCCCACAGGTAGGAGGGCAATCCCCACAGGTAGGAGGGCAGGGGGAGGGCAATCCCCAGGGAGGAGGGCTGGGGGAGGGCAATCCCCACAGGTAGGAGGGCCGGGGGAGGGCCATCCCCCGGGAAGGAGGGCTGGGCCATCCCCCGGGGAGGAGGGCCGGGGGAGGGCCATCCCCCCGGGGAGGAGGGCCATCCCCCGGGGAGGAGGGCCATCCCCCGGGGAGGAGGGCCATCCCCCGGGGAGGAGGGCCATCCCCCGGGGAGGAGGAGGGCCGGGGGAGGGCAATCCCCCAGGGAGGAGGGCAATCCCCACAGGTAGGAGGGTTGGGAGGGCAACTCACAGAAAGGAGGGCAATCCCCCAGGAAGGAGGGGGAGGGCAATCCCCACAGGAAGGAGGGCTGGGGAGGGCACCCCCAGGAAGGAGGGCACCTAGGAAGGAGGGTCAGGGAGGCAACTCCCCACAGGAAGGAGGGCTGGGGAGGCAACCCCCACAGGAAAGGAGGGCTGGGGAGGGCAACTCACAGGAAGGGAGGGCTGGGGAGGGCAACTCCACAGGAAGGAGGGCTGGGGAGGGCAATCCCCACAGGAAGGAGGGCAATCCCCACAGGAAGGAGGGCAATCCCCACAGGAAGAAGGGCAATCCCCACAGGAAGGAGGGCAATCCCCACAGGTAGGAGGGCAATCCCCACAGGTAGGAGGGCAATCCCCACAGGTAGGAGGGCAATCCCCACAGGTAGGAGGGCAATCCCCACAGGTAGGAGGGCAGGGGGAGGGCAATCCCCAGGGAGGAGGGCCGGGGGAGGGCCATCCCCCCGGGGAGGAGGAGGGCCGGGGGAGGGCCATCCC